AAGCCATGGACAAAGCCCAGCATCTGGAAAATGACAACAATATGGAAAGGATCTAAGGATAAAACAACGCATGCTTTTCAACACTCATGCAGAGGGAAACTTGCTGAAAGTGACAGGCTTCTGAGGGGCAACACAGAATTCTTTGGTGGGCTGGAAACTCACCAAAAGCTTTCTTTTTGTCCCAGAGCCAGCAATAGAAGAGGTGAGGAAGCAACTCCCGCTCTAGCAGCCAGACCAGACTATTTAGAAGAGCAGTCAACATCTCTATCTGACATGTCTCTGGTTAGAGACGTCAACATATTTAAGGAAGGGAACTCTTTTTATAATTATAGACAAGCTGAAATAACCTGAACTATTAGACAGAACTGAGAAAATAAGTCCTTCTTAGCCTATGTGTTACCCCAAGTAGAGGCAATAGTACAGCTAGCAGTGATGGTGATTATGATGAAAGCTGTCGTGGCTATTTTGACTTACATTTAAGATGTTTCATAATTTGGACACAAATGCTATTATGCAAACATGGGAGTCTGTACTCTGTTTTTCTGTGCCTAAGCATCAGAGGGTTTCAGATCGTGTCATTATAGTAAGTAAGCACTAAGGGGGTGCTCTTTTGAGATGATTCATTGATGTAACAATAGAAAAGCCAAATGAATCTATGAGGGAAATATTTCCCCAAGATCCACAGACACAACACAGAAATCATCACAGATCCTTGAGAATCACAGACATTGTTGAGAAAAAAGTTGATTAGAGATGTAGTAACTTACAGGTAGTTATGAAACCAATGAAACTGGAAGGCCATGCAATTCTCCAAATGATAACAGGAGTTTGGCTTGTATCCCTTAGTCAAACAAAACTAGACTGAATGGCTCAGAGAAACAGAAAAAAATTCTAAAAATTCTTGGGAGTCATAATTTCAGAAGGAATCATTGAAATTATTTAGTTTTTTAATCTCTTAATGTATAGACAGTGAAACTGAAGATAAGAGGTTTGTTTGTTGTTAAAGGTCTTCTCAGAGACAGTAAACATCCGCGCCAGGACTTCAATAGCTCCAGGCAAGTCTCCTAATCTCTACTGTTTTCTGTGCTTGTTACCTCTGGTTCAGTTTATTTTTTGATGTCCTAACTGAAGCATGTATGTCTTAAAGGGTGACTTTCTGAATTTCATGTTTTGGTCTCAAGCTAGGGTTAGCTTGTTGTTGTCGTTAAGTCATGTCTGACTCTTTGCAACCCCATGGATTACGGCACTCCAGGGTTCCCTTTCTTTCACTATCTCCTGGAGCTTGCTCAAATTCATGTCCATTGAGTCAGTGATGCCATCCAACTGTCACCCCCTTCTCCTCCTGACCTCAATCTCTCCCACCATCAGGGTCTTTTCCAATGAGTCAGTTCTTTGCACCAGGTGGCCCAAGTATTGGAGCTTCAGCTTCAGCATCAGTCCTTCCAGTGAATATTCAGGGTTGATTTCCTTTACAATTGGCTGGTTTGATCTCCATGCTGTTCAAGGGACTCTCAAGAGTCTTCCCCAGCACCATGGTTCAAAAATATCAATTAACGGCTAGCTTATAAGCGCTTAAAGATGCCAGTTGGTTACCTGGGGCTTTTATTATGCGTATGGTCCAATGCCCTTCATCAGTTATCCCAAGATATAAGAGCAGAGAATAGGCAAAATAATTGCCTTGCGAACTCAAACTTCAGACACATACCATTTTTATTTATTTATTAGTTCTACCACTTTATTGCTACCAACCCATCTCCCTCCACCCTCGTGCACACATGCTCAGTCATGTAACCCCATGGACTGCAGCCTGCCAGGCTCCTCTGTCCATGGACTTTTCCAGGCAAGAATACTGGAGTTGGTTGCCATTTCCTTCTCCAACATACCATGTTTATGAAACAAAAAGAACTTGGCAAATTATTCATTTCTTCTGAGTGGTTTATTCAAAGTTAAAAGTAAGTTGGGAAGGGAAACCTTCATTTTTGCAATCTTCAATTACCATAGCCAATTTAGTCGGGGAGACCTAGGTAGCCAGGATGAGAACTTGGGTAGATGGTCATTTTATTATATGTGAACTCTTAATGCTCTCACAATTTGGTCTAAGTAATTTTTGTTAAAATGTGCTTGCTACATTGAAAGCTCTTTCCTGCTAGTTATCATTTCTAATACTAATATTACTAATATCTTTAAAAATAATTAACCTATTATTAATTTTACACTGATACTTTGCTGCTGTGTGGGCTTTTCTCTAGTTGCAGCGAGTAGGGGCAACTCTCAGGGATCCAACCTGTGTCTCCTGCACTGGTGGGCATAACAATCCATATTTAAGGCACAGAGATTTAAGACAGATTTCTCAAGTTCACAGCTGTTTGGTGCAAAAATAAGGATAAAATGTTTGGCGTTAAAATATATGCACTAACATTATATATACAATAGATAACTAAGAAGGACCTACTGTTGGAGAAGGAAATGGCAACCCACTCCATTATTCTTGCCTGGAGAATCCCATGGACAGAGGAGCCTGGTGGGCTCAATCCATAGGGTCGCAAAGAGTCGGACATGACTGAAGCAACTTAGCACAAGAACCTACTGTATAGCACAGGGAACTATACCCAATATCTTGTAATAACCTATAATGGAAGATAATGTAAAAAAATGTATTGGAGAAGGAAATGGCAACCCACTCCAGTATTCTTGCCTGGGAAATCCCATGGACGGAGAAGCCTGGTAGGCTATGGTCCATGGGGTCGCAAAGAGTTGGACATGACTGAGCGATTTCACTCAGTCCATATAGTAGAAGAGAATGTAAAAAAAGGAATATATATTTATATATATACATGTATAACTGGGTCATCTTGTTGTACACCTGAAACTAACACAATGTTGTAACTCAACTATATTTCAATGAAAAAAAATGTCAGGACTAAAGTTCAGGTCTTTTGACTTTCAACCAAGTTTCTTTCTCCTGGATGAGTTCTTTTCACTCTAACATTAAAAAAAGGATCTTGTTTTGTATTTTTATTATAACAATTCACTGTTTTATGAATACATATGACTGTTTCTTGTTTTGATTATAAGCATCATTTACTCTTTATAGCATGTCCCACCCCACAGTACTTGCTATCACGAAGACAGCAAGTACTCAGTAAAGGTCTGTTTTTAAGATCAAGTACCTGACTTTTATAAGATGAATGTTATCTGAGTTAGGACAATGAGGCATTGTATATAATTAATTCAATTCTTTCCCCCATCATCACAGTTTAATAAGAGCTTCAGGTCTAATTAGCAGATACTGGTCAAAAGGCCTGCATCAAATTTATGCTATCATCACTGAGTTATTAGCTTGAAATACGGGCTTCACTTCCTTCATTAAAAACATGAGGATGCAGTACTTTTACTATGAGAAAAATAGTCTCCATGTTCAGAATCATATCTCTTGGATGGTTATGAACATTTCTTAAGTCTTAGTATGTACCAAGCACAGTCTGAGTTCTTAGGTAAGCTTTTATAACTTTATAACTCAGAGCTGGTGCCATATTATGCTTTTACATATGAAGAAACTGAACCTTAGGTTAAGTAACTTGCCCAAGGTCTTGCAGCTAACAAAACACAGAGACATTAAAAACCTAGGTGGGTGTGACTCCCAAACGAAGTTGTACTGTATCTATAGCTCTGACACAATTATAACACGATATTGACACAGCTAAACTTACCAGTTGGATAATATTTTCCCCACTGCAGTTATTAATTTCATGCAGTCACCTCAAATAGTGAACTCTGTTCTGTCATGTCCTACTAAAATAAAATTTCAGTCTAAGGAAACTCCTTTTTGTAGACATTAGTTATTCTAGACCTGAGGTTTTATCTTTATGCTACTTTAGGTTGCAGTATATTTCCAACATCAACTTTTTAAGTTTTTAAAACAGTATTTCAAGTTTTCCTTCCATTTGTATGCTTAGCCACCTGTATGCTTTTTCTATATTTCCCCAAAGTGGAGGAAGGGAAAAACAAAAAACTTTCTGAGATTAACAGAGGGCTCCATATCATTGGGATATGTTGGAATGCACAGCCCACTGAACAGACTTGGTTTCCAACTGATTACAGCTTCCCACGGAGAATAAAGGCCCTGGCTTTTTTATTCTCTGAATCTCTTGTTCCGCTTGGTTGTTAGGATTAAGTTAAGCAAGCAAAGAAGGTTAGGCAGGAAGCGACTGAATCAATTAGTTCAACCGCCTCCTTTTCAGAGAGACCACCAAGTTCCAGGAGTTGATGATTTACTGAAGCCTGTGTGTACAAATCTGTGCTGTCTCACCGTCCCAAGAGTCTACAATAGCTATCAAGTAAATGGCACCCTTGACAGTAGGTGAGAATTTCTGGGCTGGGTTTAAGAGCGAAGAGGAAGAGGGTATAGTATTTAAGAAAAACTCCCAAGGCCCATTTCTTGGATCCCAATCCAGCCTCGGCTATTTATTCACAGTGCTGTCTTGGGCAAGTTACTTCTCTGTGACTCCATTTCTTTAGTTGAGGGTGTTAACTAAACTAACTTAACTAAATTACCATTTAGTTAACAGTACCACCCTCACGTGGTTGGGGTTGGTGTGGGGATTAAGTGAGCTACACCTTTAAAACAGCAATGAAAGCATTATGACGGCGTGCGGTTGAAGTCTCATGAATCACTGTTTATACAAAAAATTTCAGACGCTTAGATCTTCCAATTTTTAGCTCTCCCATGCTCTATCCTGGCATTCCTCAGCGTTTTGAAACCTTCTAAACAAAGTCGATACCTGCATTTTCGAAGAACTCAAATGGTTCACGTTTATGAAATACTGAACAAACAGATACACATTACACACACCAGCACACATCGAACGCACGTGTTAACAGCACAATGGAAAGAGTCTGGGGGAGCAGGTGCTTCAGGGGTTATTAAGAAATGCTGAGAAACAGCGTTCAATCCGAGCAAGGCGGTCCTCGGATGTGGATGCTGGCAGTTAAGGACACACACAGGCCGCAGGCGCAGGCACTGGTGATAACCGCGTCCCTCCCTGGGGCTGGGCGCCATCGCGGCGTCGAAGGGGACCAGTCTCACCCCGCCAGGCCCAGGTGGGTTGCAGGGTGACCGAAACGCACACTCAACCGGAAACTGGCCCCAAGTTTGTGGTTTTTTTTTCTCCCACAGCAATCGTGTGATGCTGGCGATGGGACAAGGGAGGCCTGGCGTGCTGCAGTCCATGGGGTCGCAGAGAGTCGGACACGACTGAACAGCAATCCTGAAGACAAAGGCACTTCTTATCTAGGTCACCATTTTGGGGGGGGGGGGTCTGTGGCCCTCCTCCTCCTCCCGGCCCCCACCCCCGGCTTTGTCCTCAACTTCCCCCAGCGCTGGTTCGACGGCGCCCCGCACGTCGGCCAGCCTTTGTCCGGCGGCCGCCCGGCTCCCCTTTGTTGTCCACCGCTGCTCCTGGAGAGGGGTGGGCTGGCCGCTGCGTTCGAGGAGAAGGAAGGAGGGGGCGCTGGGGTGGGGGCGGGGAGAGGAGGCGGAGAAGCCCGCACCCGAGGCGGGAGGCCGGCCCGCGAGCCGTCCGCCAGCCGCGGCCGGACAACCCCTGGTCCCCCCAACGCCAGACTCCGGATCCCCGGGGGGCCCGGGATGGGGGCGGAGCGCCGCGCGGCCGGCGGCCCCTGATTGGCTGCGGGCGTCGAGGCGCCGCGCCGCGATTGGGCCGCGGGGCTGTCTGGCGCGAGGGCGCGCGAGGTGGGGAGGGGGCGGCTGGAAGCTGCTGGAAGTCAGGGGGCGGGGCGCGCGGGCGGCCCCGGGGGGCGCGGGCGGGGGGCGGGGAACGACACGAGGGCGCGGCCGCGGGCCGGCGGGCGGGGGCGCCGAAGGAGGGCCGAGCGGGTGGCCGCCCCCCCGGCCCCGCCCCGGCCCCGCCCCGCGCGCTCCGACCGCGGGCGGCCAGCGGGGCGGGCGGGCGCGCCGGCTGTATCCCCATCCTCTCGGGCGCGCACGAGCGGCTCGGGCGGAGCGGCAGGCCGGCCATGGCCACCACCAGCACCGCCAGCACCACCAGCACCACGGGCTCCACCCTGCTGCAGCCCCTCAGCAACGCTGTTCGGCTGCCCATCGACCAGGTCGGTACCCAAGGCGGCCCCGCTGGCCCCGCGCCGCCCCCTCCGCGCGGGACCCGGGGCGCGGGGCGCGAGCCCCCCCGAAGGGAGGGGCGGCCCTGCTTGTTATTGTCCTCGCGTAGCCAGGCGCCGACTGCACACCCCCCCGCCCAGCTGCCCACCCTGCCCCCACCTCTCCGGGGCAGCCCGGGGGTGGGGGGCCGCGCAGGGCCCCCGACGTGCGCGCGTGCATGCTTGGCCCCCGCTCTCCGCCTGGGCAGCGCCCGACCCCGGCGGGCAGTCGGCGATCGAAGGCCCGAGCGGCTTCCAGTGCGTGGTGGGCACGGGTGTAGACAGTGCGTGGAAAGGCTGGCTTTGCGGGAGCCCGGGGTGTCTATGCCCTGCGCGCGTGGCACCCGACGTTCCGCCGGGGGTTGGAAAAAGGATGGATGTGCCTAGGTGGAGGGCGCGCTTGGACGCGCCGTGGTGTGGCCTGGAGGAGGCCAGCTCCGGGGTCGGCCACTGGCCCTTGGGGACAATTGGCGTTGAAGTGCGGCTTATTCGAGGAGGCCCCCGTTTGGCGGGGGGGGGGGGGAGGGAAGGCAAAGGTTCTGCAGAAAAGTCAAAGTGAGTTTAATGACCAGGGTTTCCAGCGGAGAAAGTGGCAACGTTGTAGACGGGAGACACCCTACCCCGCTCCCGAAAAGCATTTGACACAGTATAGGGGAAGATTTGACATTTCAGTCCTCACTTGGGAGTTTGCAAGGAAGGCCTAAAGGGTTATTGAGAAAGAAACAGTCTTGCGATGGGAAAAGCAGCGCCATTTTTTTATTCAGAAAAGAAAGTTTGGGAGTTGTCAAGAGTGATATTTAGGGCAGTTGAGGGCTCAGAGACCATTGCTTTAGCCCCAGGCTAGAGGTAGTTCGCTGAAAATTTTGCTTCAGATTATTTCAAGTGGACCTGATCTAGAAGTGTTTGCACTTTACAGGGGATCCTGGGTCACTGTCCTCTTGAACGTGTCGCTGTCATTGATGTCATCAGGGATTTCATTTCTAATACAGGATTCCTCTGTGTTCAGACTCCGTTTCATAGCAGCAAGAGGGGACATTATCCCATGCTTAACGTTGTGACACTTGGTACTTTGTGCTTCACTGTTGGAAAAGTAAAATAGAATTATGTCCAATGAGTATAGAAAAATTCTGTCTCTGTTCAGATCTGAATTCCTTACTTATATTTCAGTCATAACTGTTGGTTCTTAGTGAATACTATCCCCCATACATCTTTTTTAAAAATTAAAGGTTTTATTTTATATTGGAGCGTAGTTGACTTACAATGTTGTGTTAATATCTGGCGAACAGCAAAGTGATTTGGTTACATATATGCATATATCTATTCTTTTTCAGATTCTTTTCCCATGTAGGTTATTACAGACTGGAGTAGAGTTCCCTGTGCTGTACTGTAGGTTCTTGTTGATTATGTTTTATATAGAATAGTGTTTATAAGTTTCTCCCAAGCTCTTAACCCCGTACATCTTCAATGAAAGTTAGAATATGGATCTTGCTAATAGATTCTAATAGGTGCTAATAGTGAAATTCATCGCATGTTGTAAGAAAGTAGTCTTCTCTGTTTATTAATAAACCAATCAGAACTCAGGGTTTTTTGTCTTCTCAGTCCTGTGGAGAATTCTCGTTTTCCTGCAGTGGAGCACAGTGTATGCCTTTTAGTGTATTACAACCCCCTTGACTTAAGTAGGTGGCAGCTAGGATATCAGCAAGTGCAAGGAGGTATCTGTTTTTTGAAAAAAATGTTTTGCCATTGAAAGCAAGAAAGATAGGCCTATAGCTTTTCACTTGATTTAGGGATCAGGATTGTGTTCTTTTTCCTTCCTCTTTCTGTTTCTCTCTCTCCCTATCGCGATGACATATTTTCTCTGCTGTGCTAATGCCTTTTAGTTTATATAATGCTTGTAACTTCAAAAGTGATTTGATGTAATGAAATCATTTAAAAGAATCTCAGCAGTCAGGAGCAAGTTCATTTCGGTCCTGACATAAAGCAGGAGAATCAAGGGATGGTGACAGGACTGAAAATTTTGACTTTCCTCCTTTATTATCTACAGGTATTTTTTCTTTTTTTGTTGATTTACTTTCAGCTGCGCTGGGTCTTCATTGCTCTGCATGGGCTTTCTCTAGTTGCAGCGGGCTGGACCGCTCTTCCCCGTGGTGCGCCAGCTACTCACGCTGTGGCCTCTCGCTGCAGTGCTTGGGGTCAGTAGTTGTGGCTCATGGGCTTAGCTGCTCCGCTGCATGTGGAATCTTCCTTCAGTCGGGATCGAACCCACGTCCGCTGCATTGGCTGCCGCCACCGCCACCGCCACCAGCGAAGTCCTCCACAGCTTTTGATTTTGTACTTTGAACACCTTCATTCTCTCTTTTTTTTTTTTAGAGTAAATGGAAATCTTTATTTTTTTTTGTTTTGTTTTTTTCATTTATTTTTATTAGTTAGAGGCTAATTGCTTTACATCATTGCAGTGGTTCTTGTCATACATTGAAATGAATTAGCCATGGATTTACATGTATTCCCCATCCCGGTCCCCCCTCCCACCTCCCTCTCCACCCGATCCCTCTGGGTCTTCCCAGTGCACCAGGCCCGAGCACTTGTCTCATGCACCCAACCTGGGCTGGTGATCTGTTTCACCCTAGATAATATACGTGTTTCGATGCTGTTCTCTTGAAACATCCCACCCTCGCCTTCTCCCAGAGCCAGTGCGAGGGTTTCCTGGTGATTGGAAACTTCCTCTATTAAGACTCCCTTCCCGGGACGGGTCTCCGTCCGTAGCTCTTTTGACTCCCTTTTTATCTTTTATATTTTGTCCTACCTCCCTTCGAAGACAATGGGCTGCTTTTCTGGGCGCCTGATGTCCTCTGCTAGCGATCAGAAGTTGTTTTGTGAAATTTGCTCAGCATTCAAATGTTCTTTCGATGAATTTGTAGGGGAGAAAGTGGTCTCCCCGTCCTATTCCTCCGCCATCTTGGCTCCTTCCGAACACCTTCATTCTCTTGAGACTACTCTGAATTTGCATAGCCAGTTGTATTTTGGGTTGTTTTTCCTCTTAGCAAGTCTTAATATTGGTTTAATACAAGGCTTAACTTTTTATGGTGATAATGCAGTTTTTCTGAAGCACTGAAGAATTGACTTTTTTTGGCTGATAAAGCACTTGGAATAACTAAAAACTCATTTAGTAAGACTGGATAAGTAGTCATTGAGCCACTATTTTGAAGTTGAGCAAAACAGAAATTAAATTTGGTAACATGTAAATAATCAGGTCCCAGTTGAGAGAAAGCCTAAGAATTAGTTGTAATCAAATAGTGTGATTCAACCAGAGAAAGACAAATCAGGAAATGAAAATGTAGAAATATAACTTCTTAGTATGTTAATTTGGTATGTGCTAATTAACAGTGTTTTGAAAAATTAGGAAATTATAAAAGCAGTTATTTGATGTCAGAGGACGAGAAGGACCTTAGAGCCAGAAAATAGCTTTTTTTGATTGAGTATGAAATTTTGGAAGTGATAGAGATTATGTTTGGGATATAAGAATGCATGTTGCAGGATCATGTAGGTGAGAAAGGAGGAAATATGTTGCTGTGAGGCCAGGCAAAGAAAAGGAGCAGAGTTACGGCTTGACTGAGACTCCTGAGAGTTCCAGAGGCACCTTGAGGGAACTGTAGTGTTTGTTCAGTAGGTCTTAGATTTAAATATTGATAAACACGACTGAGCGACTGAACTGAACTGAAACATATAAATCTGGTATTGAGTGAGGTTCAGTGATGCTCTTAAGATGGGAAATATTTAGCATCTGATGTTTTCCCTTTCCAGGCATTGCATTCCAGCCGACTTTATTTCTAGGGCGGTTTGTTATCACTAAAGGGATCTGTGAGGATATTTGGGCTAAGGTGGGGAGACGGGGGCCAAACGTGTTACTGAGAAAACGTCAGATGTCATTGAATAGAGTTGTATTCTTTATTAGTTGCTGAGAATTTTTAAATGGTGAATTTTTAAAAAGCTCCAACATGAATACCAAACAGGAGAGAGTGTCCAGATCAACCTCTTTTTTTAAGAGCGTTCTTTTTTTTTTTTTAACCTCGACATGTAGATTGTATTGTATTTGACTTGCCTCATCCTCTGTGTTATCAGATCGAAGGATTCTCTACCCTTTTTCTTCTTCCCTCTCTTTACCCTTCCTTTTAAACAATTTTTCTTCTTTCTTCCCCTTGATGCTGGAATTACAGTGAGATTGGAGAAAGTTTCCCTGGTGATGTGATGTCCAGGATGGCATACTTGGCCTCATGGGACAGCTGTTGGGGACAGGGTCTTTGTTTTAGAGATGAGGTGCTGAACTTTCTGGGGCAAGGAGAGGGGCGGGAGGGAGACTCAAGATATTTTGAAAGGTTTGGAGGAAGGAGGAATAAGGACCAGTGGTTGTGACAGGTTCCGAAAAGTCAGGTAATAATCATCATGGGTAAAACCTGACAGTTGACACACCTCTTTTACATTCTTTGTATCATTCTCCTCCATCCTCGCAACACTTTGTAAAGTCAGATAAAATTCCAGGCCTGAACTATTTTAGCTTCAGGTGTGTATGTACGTGGGGTTTCCCTGGTGGCTCAGTGGTAAAGAACCCGCCTGCCGATGCGGGAGACTTGGGGTCCATCCCTGAGTCGGAAAGATGCCCTGGAGGAGGAAATGGTAACCCACTCCAGTATTCTTGCCTGGAAAATCCCATGGACAGAGGAGCCTGGAGGGCTACAGTCACTTGGGTCACAAAAGAGTTGGACATGACTTAATGATTAAACAACAATATATGTGCATATGGTATCAAGCATTTGAGTAAAAGCTCTGTTTTATTTTTTTAACATGTGGCAAGTTGTTTGGTAGATCATTGTTTTAGATCCATGTTGTCGTGTGTTTTTGAAGGACAAGATGGAGAGGAAGACCTTTCCTAATGCCAAAGTGCTGGTGGAGATGGT